CACCATGTTAGATAACAATCTATGTTCATATGACGTCAATGCACTGTTGTTGTATTTGCACTGTTAGCCCACACTGGGATGTTTGCAAGTTTGTGAGGTATAAATGTGTAGTTTTGTAATATTGAGGGAAAAGTCATTCTAACTAAATCGAAACATCTTAAAGTAAACTGAAAAATACCACCCCGCTACAATGGAGAATCATCAGATATCCCAGAAGCAGCTGTACGGTTGACCTGCAATAATAAATAGAAAAGTAATACAATATTGTAATCATTTTTTACAGTGGAATTATCCTGCAATGACTCACTTGTTTTCCAACTCTAGAGTCACTCCCTCCCGGTCGAGACATCTTCACCTGGTGGTGGAGAACATGTACTTCATCGTCTGAGCACAGGGAAGCGGGAGAAGTTCAACACCACCTGTCGTTTGGGAAAGGCCGAGCTCCGTCTTCTAGGGGAAGTGATGGAGAAGGATCTAGGTGAGGTTGTGCCAGGGGTGAGGTTGACGCGCGGTGACTCAGCTCAGTTGGTGCTGGAGGGCTCCGCAAGTGAAGTCCGACCGAACAGCCAGAGAATGGGTCACAGAAAAGACTGCTTTGGTGCTGGAGCGCCGGGAGTGGGTAGTGCCTGAGGTGTCCCTCCACCTCCTGTCCTTTCTCAGGGAAGAGTATGGGAACTTAGGCAGCCTGCTGGCGTTGGAAGGCCAGGTTGAGGTAGAGCTGGAGGACACAGAGCTCATCCTCTATGAGGTGGTGTTTATGACGTGTTTGTTCTTCAATTTACGCTTTGGCCACAAATACGAGTATAGCTCTGAGTAAGTAGCTGATCTACGCCACCTTTTTTATAGAGGTGAGGTCATCTGATAATTACCAAACACTATATTAACAATCTATAATAACACAGCTTCTTTATCAACAGGAAATAACAAGCAGATAATTAAGTTGCTAATAGAAATCATTTTATTTTCTGCAGCAGCAGTTACAGTTTGTATATTAAATAGAATTGTATGGTCACACACAGCCTAATAATCAACATTGGAGCACTGCTCATTTAATTATAAACTGGGTGGTTCGAGCCCTGAATGCTGATTGGCTGACAGCCATGGTATATCAGACCGTATACCAGGGGTATGACAAAACATTTATTTTTACTGCTCTGATGAAGTTGTTAACCAGTTTATAATAGCAATAAGGCACTTCGGGGGTTTGTGGTATATGGCCAATATACCACAGCTCCTTGTTGTGTCCTGCCTAAGAACAGCCCTTAGCCGTGGTATATTGGCCATATACCACACCCCCCTTGGGCCTTATTGCTTAAATATAACACAATCTTCGCAGCTGTCACTCACAGAGTCATTCTAGCACCATTATTAGCTTGATATAACAAGAGCACACAAACAAAGTGCATTGTTGAGGGAGGTGTGCCACAGGGAGAAGGAGAGAAGATTGGCTGAACAGCACATAGTTAAGATTCGGCAACCAAGCTGCCACACTGGAATTTGGACTATAGACACTTTCAACTCCCTCATCTTCCCCAAGCACGCCAACCTATACACGTGTAAAAGAGAACTGCTGGCCACAGGGAAACACGAAACACACCTGGGGGCAATCCAGTTAGGTGATGCATGTCAGATGAGTATAGGATGAGTCAACAACATTATTTGGCTATGGGTGAACAGAATATAAACTTTTAAAAGTGAGATTTTCACTGGAAAGTTACTTTAATACCACACAAATAATACTCTGCTTACACTGACAAAGACCAATAATAACGACCTAATCTTGAATGCAACCATCTAATCTAGGCCTATGAAAAGGGGAGACACATATTGTACAGTATGACATCCATCTGGCCTGGAGGAGGGAAAAAAAACTTTCCACTAGCGCTGACTCATCCAATGATAAACATAGTGAATGTGAGCACTCCCCGAGAATATGTCCGATACTCTCCGCTAGTGCCAAGACAGGCTAGGCTAGGCCTACTGTTCTCTCAGTATTGGGAGGTGAGAATTTTGATAACTAAAGACATATAAGAGTTTTTTCTTTGTCTCCTTTCTCCTTTGTGTTTTAACCGCGATTATATTTTGAAATACTGCAATAGGCCTAGGACTATTTTGGATGCTTTTCACTGACAGCCGCAACTCAACAATCAGCGGATGCACAGTACCAAAATTATCGAATGGCGGAAATCAACGATATGCTTAGCCTACTGTATTAGTTTGTACTAAACAGTACGTTCTAAATAGTATGCTTGATTAGTATGATTAGTACACAGTATGCAGTCTAAGTCAGTAGTAGGCAAGCCAGATTTCGGACACGGCCTGTGCATAAAGTTGAGAATCTCGCACATGAGCAAAACCTTCCGATTATTTGCTATCTGGAAGAGGCTTCCAGCGACTCCATTTTATTTTTGTCTCCTGGTGCCCAAATTGCGGGCTTTCTGACTGTAGGCTATGCTCTTATTTTGACAATAATAATAAGCTATTTAGCAGACGCTTTTATCCAAAGCAACTTACAGTCATGCGTGCATACATTTTTGTGTATGGGTGGTCGCGGGGATCGAACCCACTACCCTGGCGTTACAAGCGCCGTGCTCTACCAGCTGAGCTACAGAGGACCACAACACATCCCATGATTTATTTCCAATTGTAGATGTCATTTTTTTATTTGTATTAAGTGATAACCCTTATGAAAACCTGCAATCAATTGGCCATTTATATATATGCTCTGAGAGAGAGAAGGTAAAGGGGATACACGCTACAGTATATGGGAAACACATTTTTTGCATGGTTCTGACCTGAGCTCAACAGTGTGAGTGGAGCAGCGTCACTGCGTGAAGCCTACCTCTCTACCATTGGACGGATTCGATTATGCTGAGCTGCGGGGTGCATTATCCAGAAATGTACATCTCTTTTCCATAAAATATGTGTTTGAATTTTCAAACCAGTTTTCATTGGGAAAGCAGATAAAAGCACAGAATCCTACTTATTACCCCATGTGCTTAATCGCATCACTTTTGTTTTGAGCCGACTTCGCTGTGGCCTTTGAATGGGGCACCTGGCTCATGCCCGGGAGGCAGCCCGTTTCCAAAACGAATGCAAACAACTTTCACCTGGTGCAAAACATGCCTACCTGGGGGCCCGGGTCAGATTAATAAAATCCCCTCAATGAGCACCGCCTGTCCACAGAAATTGATTTTGGGGACGGTCCGGATGGACTAAATCTGAACCAATCATAGACAACTATTTTGGGGCCAACTCAAGGCCAGGGAGGACCATCTCTATAGTTCATCAAGTTATGTAAATCTGATCAAAGAATATAAATAAAATTAATTGTATTTGTCACATACACATTTTTAGCAGATGTTAGCTTCTAGCTCCGACAGTGCAGTAATATCTAACAATTTCACAACATATACCCAATACACACAAATCTAGTAAGGAATGGAATTTAAGAATATATATACAGTGGGGGAAAAAAAGTATTTAGTCAGCCACCAATTGTGCATGTTCTCCCACTTAAAAAGATTAGAGAGGCCTGTAATTTTCATCAAAGGTACACGTCAACTATGACAGACAAAATGAGAATGGAGTGTGACTGTTTGAGGTTGTGGACAGGTGTCTTTTATACTGATAACAAGTTCAAACAGGTGCCATTAATACAGGTAACGAGTGGAGGACAGAGGAGCCTCTTAAAGAAGAAGTTACAGGTCTGTGAGAGCCAGAAATCTTGCTTGTTTGTAGGTGACCAAATACTTATTTTCCGTCATAATTTGCAAATCAATTCATTAAAAATCCTACAATGTGATTTTCTGGATTTCTTTTCTCAATTTGTCTGTCATAGTTGACGTGTACCTATGATGAAAATTACAGGCCTCTCTCATCTTTTTAAGTGGGAGAACTTGCACAATTGGTGGCTGACTAAATGCTTTTCTTCACCCACTGTACATATATGGACAAGCAATGACAGAGCGGCATGGACTAAGATACAGTAGAATATTATATTATAGAATAGAATACGGTATATACATATGAGATGAGTAGTGCAAGATATGTATACATTATTAAAGTGACTAGTGTTCATTTCTTAAAATGGCAGTAGCAGCCTCTAATGTGCTAGTGATGGCTATTTAACAGTCTGATGGCCTTGAGATAGAAGCTGTTTTTCATTCTCTCGGTCCCAGCTTTGATGCACCTGTACTGACCTCGCCTTCTGGATGATAGCGGGGTGAACAGGCAGTTGCTCGGTTGGTCGATGTCCTTGATGATCTTTTTGGCCTTCCTTTGACATGCCCAAGCGCATGTGTATGTTTTCGCTCCTGCATGGGCGTATGGTGGCAGCAGTGTAGTCTACTTATTCTCCTCGATCGACTGACTTGCTCTTTCTATTAGGTTAAACAACAAATAATAGCCAGGCTACTTTATAATATGGACTTTTTCAAATACCCTGTTTTCTTCGAGTGCCAGACTCTGGACCCATCACAGAGAAATAAGATTTAAAAAAAGTACTTTTAAAGATTGTGGACCAGTAGAATCAGTTGGTGACAAAGTTTACAGGATCGCGTTTATTTACCGGAAACGTATGAAAATGTTTAGGCTAAGTGATCAGATATTTGGAGTGCCTTTTTTAAAGAACTTTATAGATGTAAATACAGTATATTACTTTAGAGATTATAGCACAACTCCTCTAGTTTATGCCGTAGGTGTCTGACTTTGTCTGAATGTGTGGGTGCAAATTGTTTTAGATATTTATTTTAATCTCGCAATTCTATACTGTTTATGCTGTTTATGTAACCTATGCCTTTAACACTTCAAGTCCTGGACTGAATGCAAAAGGCTTAATAAATAGTAAAACATATTATTATTAATATTAGTATTATTATTGTTGTTGTTGTTATTGTTATTGTTATTACTAGTACTACTACATGACAACAACTCATTGTGACTCTGTAACTCTTTCAGTCCAGGAGAGGGTACTTCAGAAACCTAATCATGTGTTGGAGATGCCTGGGGGACCTCTCTCCCTCACTCTGAGAGACAGCCTGGAGCCTCCACCCACAACAACCTCTCCAGTCAGCAGTCAGGAGGTGAGGCCAGACTAAAGAGACACACCTATACAGTACCTGCTGAGTCCCATATCCTGTTAGAAAAGACATTTATCTTCCATAATAAGAGGTCAAAATACACAGACATCAATGCACTGTTGTTGTATTTGTACTGTTAGCCCACACTTGAATGTTTGCCAGTTTGTGAGGTATAAATGTGTGGTTTTGTAGTATTGAGGGAAAAGTCATTTTAACTAAAAAAAAACATGAAAAAGACCAACCTAGTCGCTAAAATTAAGAATCAACAGATATCCCAGAAGCAGCTGGACGGTTGACCAGCAATAATAAATCCATAAACCTACTTAAGTAAAAAAGTAATAATAATAAAGTATTGTAATAGTTATCACAGTGTAATTACCCTGCAATTACTTACTTATTTTCCAACTCTAGAATCACCACTCCCTCCCGGTCGAGACATCTTCACCTGGTGGTGGAGAACGTGTACTCCATCGTCTGAGCACAGGGAAGCAGGAGAAGATCAGCATCACCTGTCATCTGGGACAGGCCGAGCTCTGTCTTCTAGGCGAAGTGATAGAGAAGGATCTAGGTGAGGTTGTTCCACGGGTGAGGTTGACACGCCTTGACTCAGCTCAGCTGGTGCTGCAGGGCTACGCAAATGAAGTCCGGACAGCCAGACAGTTGGTTACAGATAAAATGTCTCTGGTGCTAGAAAGGGTAGTGCCTGAGGTGTCCCTCAACCTCCTGTCCTTCCTGAGGGAGGAGTATGGGAGGCCTGGGGCCCTGGGCAACCTTCTGGGGTTGGAAGGCCAGGTGGAGGTAGAGCTGGGGGACACAGAGCTCCGTCTGTTCGCCCTCTCCTCTGGGAAAACTGGACCAGGCTGAGAAGGATCTGTTGGGGGAGTTTGGGGAGGAGAAGATCGACTTGCCCAACAGTGCTGCCATCCCGGCTGAACTGAGGTCCAAGCTTGAGAAGAAGGTGAAGGAGATGAACCAGAGCAGGTGCAGGGTGGTGGCCAGGTACGGTCCTGGGTGTAGAGTGCAGCTGCTGGGCCACCTGAAGCAGGTTCAGGAGCTGAGGGAGGAGATCGGGGCCTTTCTCATAGACCGGTCCAGTGTGAGAGTCGTGAAACACCATCAACAGAATCAGGATGGCGTAGTCAGCGAAGCGGGCAACCGGATCAAGAGGTGAGGAGACGGTCGCAGCCGCCAGCTATAGCCTCCGGCTGGGGCTGCAGGTAGTGGTGCGTCAAGGTGACATCACCAAGGAACGGGCGGACGCGCTGGTGAATTCAGCCAATGAGGACCTGGATCATGCTGGGGGCGTGGCTGCAGCTCTGAGCTGGGCGGGGGGGCCTGAGGTACAGTGGGCCAGCAGAGATCTGGTTAGGCAGATAGGGAGAATACCCACAGGTACAGTGGTAGAGACTACATGAGGGAATCTGCCTTGTAAGATGCTGTTGCACGCAGTGGGACCAGTAGGTGGCAGCGTAGGTGGGAATGAGCGCCCTCTGTTGGAGAAGACAGTAAAGACAGCCCTGGATCTGGCAGAGACCATGGAGCTCCAGACCCTGGCCATGCCCTGCATCAGCTCAGGGATATTCGGCGTTCCTCTGAAGGTGTGCTCTGAGGCCATAGTCTCTGCAGTGAGGGACTTTGGGAGGGAACAGCACATCCTTACCAAGGTCACTCTGATTGATGTGAGTGGAGAGGCAGTGAAAGCCATGCAGGAGGCCTGTGATAGGCTGTTACAGGGTAAGAGGGAGTTTTCTGGTTGGGAGGGAGATTCTAGCACCACCACTACCACTACACATGCTCCTCAGAGAGACACCACTTCTGCCTCCACCAGGGGAGCAGCGGCTCCAGAGGTCTGTGTCCAGCTGGAGATCATCCAGGGAACCATAGAGAAGCAGCAGGTGAGTGAGAGACACACTGACATGGCCATGGCCTTGATTCAACAACATTGACTTCAGTTCACTTCATACTGACTCAATTTTCTCTTTTTCTTTCTTTCTTTCTTTCTTTCTTTCTTTCTTTCTTTCTTTCTTTCTTTCTTTCTTTCTTTCTTTCTTTCTTTCTTTCTTTCTTTCTTTCTTTCTTTCTTTCTTTCTTTCTTTCTTTCTCTCTCTCTCTCTCTCTCTGAAGGTGGATGCCCTGGTGTCCCCCATGGTTGGTAGTGACCCTCTCTCCTCCCGTGTTGGTAATGTCTTGTCGAAGGCAGCTGGACCGGGGCTGATGAAAGCATTTCTGAGGGAATCAAGGGGACAGACTGCACCTGGTGACAACGTCCTGGTGGAGGGAATGTCTGGTCTCAGCTCTGGCTGTGTCTTCTTCCTCAGCTGTGCACTATGGGACAACAACCCCCAAGGACCAGCAGTACAGGTGTGTCCCCTTGTGTGTGTGTTATGACCTTTGAACCTCCATTAACCCTTAACCTCTGGTCCCCTCTCAGGCTCTGAGGCAGGGTGTGAGGAAAATCCTGACCTCTTGTGAGAAACGGGGCCTCCGTTCCATTGCCTTCCCTGTAGTTGGAACTGGTGTGGTTCTCCAGTTCCCTCACAACCTGGCAGCGCAGGTTCTGCTAGAAGAGATCCGTAGGTATGAACAGAATCGAGCGAGCAGAAGCCCTTTCCTTGTCCGCATTGTCGTCCATCCAACTGACAGAGATTCTACCAAGGTGAGAAGAGACTTTGAAATAAGGTCTCAATGCATTACAAAAAAAATCCTTTAACTTCAATATGTTTCAGCGAAGCCATTTAATAATACTGTCATACATCCATAATTACATATTTTTTTAAATAATAACAGTCACAATCCTTCATTGCAGTTGTATTGTTTGTTCTAATCTACAGGCTTTTCAGACTGCCCAGAATGCTTTGCATCTCAGAGGGTTCGTATTGGGTGCTCGACCAGAGCAAGGTGAGTTACATTTCACCCCCACCTTTAAATCAAATACATTATTACTATATGATTGATCCATTTCAAGTTATAATTATGAACCGTCCCTATAGACATCAGGATTGTGCTGCTGGGGAAAACCGGAGGAGGTAAAAGCAGTGCTGGAAACACCATCTTCGGACAAGATGATGTGTTTCTCGTAGACAGTTCCTCCACCTCCGCAACACAAATATGTGAAGCGCAGACCAAGAACATCAAAGGAAGAAACATCACCCTGATTGACACACCTGGATTCTTTGACACTGACATCCCTAAAGAGGAGCTGAAACCTAAAATAGTCAAATGTATAACAGAGTGTGCTCCGGGGCCGCATGCCTTTCTCATTGTACTAAAAGTGGAACGGTACACAATCCACGAAAAAGAAGCTGTAGCGAAAATCGAGAAATATTTTTCACCAGAGGCCTTCAAATATGCCACAGTCCTCTTCACTCATGGTGAACAACTCAATGGTTTGACCATTGAGAAGTTTGTCCAACAGAATGCTGAACTGAACAAGCTTGTGGAGAAATGTGGAGGCCGCTGTCACGTCATCGACAACAAATACTGGAACACCAATCAGCAGGGTCGGCACAGCAACCAGTACCAAGTAGCAGAGCTACTCAACACCATAGAGAAGATGGTGAGAGAGAACGGAGGAGGATGCTACACCAACGAGATGCTCCAAGAGGCAGAGAGATTAATACAAGCAGAGATGGAGAGTCTTAGGAAGGAGTTAAAAGGCCAGATGTCAGAGGAAGAGATGAGAAAACAGGCTAAAGAAAGAGCGAGAAAGAAGCTCCTGATCAAATTATCAGGGATTGTAACAGGTGCAGTGGTTAGGAGCTCTACTTGGGGTGTCAATGCTGATAATGCTACCACTCACACTCGCTACACAACCATTGCTCAATTTAGTCAAAAGTCAGATAGCAGCTTCAATGACAGGGCCAGCAGTCGTGGCGGAGGTAGCAGGACCAGCACTTGCAGCAGAGACAGGGGCGACCATGGGAGTGGGTTCAGGGATAGGCATAGGAGCAGGGATAGGCATAGCTGTAGGAGTTGTTGCTGGAACCGCCGCAACAGCAGGAGCGGTAAGAGGAGGGATAGTAGGAGCTACTGCAGCAGAGGAGGCAGAGACAGTACAGGAGGCAGCAGAGAAAGCAGCTAGTGCTGTCTACAATGAAGCTAAGGGTCTTTATGAAAAAGCAGAAAACCTTTTGATAGGGTACAGTAAGTCTAAGTAGATGAGATATACCTGAAACCATTGCGTGATGGCAACGTGTGTTTCAATATCTAAAAATTATGTAGACAACAGTCAGTTCTATACCACTGTAGAATAGCTGCTTGTCCAACATATGTAGCTACTTGTTCAACATATGTAGTTGCTTGTCCAACATCTGTAGCTGCTTGTCCAAATATATAGAACATTTTTATTTTGTATATATATTTTAAATGTTTTCATTGTTTTGTAAAAATCAAGGGATATGGTGGCAAATAGGGCTGTGGCAGTCATGACATTTTGTCAGCCGGTTATTGTCATGTAAAAGACTCCTGGTCTCACTGTAATTGACCATTAATTAACATAGACATGTTTAGCATCTGGAGGCCTCCACTCATACAAGTAGCATACAGGCAGCAGATGTGCACTTTTGGAACATCTACATTTAAAAAGTCTAATAAATCAATTGAATATACAACATAACAATAAACCTATTATTTATTTTAGGAAGGTCTAAATAAACATTATGATATGAAGAAAATGTATTTCAGAAGAACAGAATATGAGTTGGCCAGATAACATACAGTAGGCCATGTGCCATACCATAGGCTGTATAGGCTTGGTCATTTAGCAGACAAGATATGCTTAAGACCCGTGTCAATAATTTATAATACATGATTTTATAGTAAGAAGAATGTAATTGAACTTAGCCGAATAAAATAGATAGGTTATTTTTCCTATTCCGGAGCTAGTGCGCATATTAAGTGGCTATGTTGAGCGTAAAAGTGATCATTTGAAACAAGTCCTATAGAGTTATATGGTACAAACCTTAGAATGTCTTAGAAATCAAAACATATATGGGCTGCATGATGCGACTATAGGCTATTGATGATTTGAGAATGTCGCAAAAAAAACTTGCCGCTCTGTTCCTTGCCTGTGGCTGCACATGTTGTTCTCTCATCAAGCGATCATATTTTCACCCTCAGTTTAATCTTGTCTTTACTAACATGTAAAATGACTTTCGATTTAGAATGGCCCATTATCAAATGGGCAGGGACAGGGGGGAAAAGACATGTCATCAGTATGCACTCGGAATAGCGAATGGGGGGCCGCTTTCCCGCCTGTTTGTTTTTTTATCTCATGAGGGTAGGCTACTCGATTATTTCACTCCACACATCAACCACTAAACAATCTAGCATGCAGCTTCATGCTGCGCGACAGGTGATATTCCGCCCAAACTTTGTATGCTATGGGCTCTCCAACCCTGTTCCAGCAGCTACCCAGGGCTTAATTTGGCCAACCAAGTTAAATCTGTTCGGAACAATGATAGTAACATGTTTTAACAACGAAAGATAATTAATTAACCTGTTGACAGATGGAAATGCACGGTGGTGAGATATTCTGGAGCTAAAGGTAATGTGTCAGCCCATTAATTATGAAAAAAAATAACGTACTACTAGGCTATTCAAAAATCAAGTACAAATTATCTATAATTGTTGGCTAATTGAATTTCTATAGGATATACCAATTATGTATCAAAGACATCTTAAATCAGTTTTTTTTTTAATATTTCTGACATGCATAATATGTGGTAGGCTATGTCTTGTATAACGGCACAATCATTATTTTAATTCAGTGTTTTTTTCAGGCTTGGGCTCATATATAGGCCTGTTGTGTATGCATATGCTCTAATATGCGTATGGGTGTTTTTGAATTAATCATCACCTTAGAAAGCGCTGGCCATTTCGTTGTGTTAGGCTTTACGTTTTGAAACAACATCCACATCCATGTTTTCCACACAGTTTCAACCTGTTGTTGAACTTCTTTCTTCAAATATATCAATCACAGTGAGATGAGTTTTAAAAGCACATACTGTTTTGATGATAAGTGTTTGATGTGATTTTCGATTGTATTTGCATTGATGTCAGAGTGGTTAGAGGGACAATAGAGCAATCTGATGATCATTAGCGAGTTTCCAGAGTGCACAAAAGGAGGTTACCGTGACTCAAAGGTCACATGGAATTTTACTGCGGTCATGACTCATGACTGCCAGTGTGGCGGTAATATGTCACCACAACAACCCTAGAAAATGATTGTGACTAAACTGCATTGTATTTTTTCCTGGTCCATGACCATCCATAGGCTTATGGTTCAAACACCTGGATTAAGGACACATGGGTTTTTTACTATTTGACTTAATTTAAATGATTATTACATCAAAGCAATAAAATATGACCCATTCAATGGACAGAGAGAGTAAATGTTCTTAACATTTTATTTTCATTTGCAGTAATGTCTTTTCTGTAAAACATGCATATTCCAATTTGATATATTGATTGTTTGAACTGAAAGTATGTAATGTATTTAATGTGAGAGAGTTTCTGCTAAGAATTCCAATTCATGTAATCTATATTTTGAAAAAACTTGTTTATAACCAACTGGATAACAGTGAGTGTGTATATACAGTGAGGGAAAAAAGTATTTGATCCCCTGCTGATTTTGTACATTTGCCCACTGACAAAGAAATGATCAGTCTATACTTTTAATGGTAGGTTTATTTGAACAGTGAGAGACAGAATAACAACAAAAAAATCCAGAAAAACGAATGTCAAAAATGTTATAAATTGATTTGCATTTTAATGAGGGAAATAAGTATTTGACCCCCTCTCAATCAGAAAGATTTCTGGCTCCCAGGTGTCTTTTATACAGGTAACGAGCTGAGATTATGAGCACACTCTTAAAGGGAGTGCTCCTAATCTCAGTTTGTTACCTGTATAAAAGACACCTGTCCACAGAAGCAATCAATCAATCAGATTCCAAACTCTCCACCATGGCCAAGACCAAAGAGCTCTCCAAGGATGTCAGGGAAAAGATTGTAGACCTACACAAGGCTGGAATTGACTACAAGACCGTCGCCAAGCAGCTTGGTGAGAAGGTGACAACAGTTGGTGCGATTATTCGCAAATGGAAGAAACACAAAATAACTGTAAATCTCCCTCGGCCTGGGGCTCCATGCAAGGTCTCACCTCGTGGAGTTGCAATGATAATGAGAACGGTGAGGAATCAGCCCAGAACTACACGGGAGGATCTTGTCAATGATCTCAAGGCAGCTGGGACCATAGTAACCAAGAAAACAATTGGTAACACACTACGCCGTGAAGGACTGAAATCCTGCAGCGCCCGCAAGGTCCCCCTGCTCAAGAAAGCGCATATACAGGGCCGTCTGAAGTTTGCCAATGAACATCTGAATGATTCAGAGGAGAACTGGGTGAAAGTGTTGTGGTCAGATGAGACCAAAATTGAGCTCTTTGGCATCAACTCAACTTGCCGTGTTTGGAGGAGGAGGAATGCTGCCTATGACCCCAAGAACACCATCCCACCGTCGAACATGGAGGTGGAAACATTATGCTTTGGGGGAGTTTTTCTGCTAAGGGGACAGGACAACTTCACCGCATCAAAGGGACGATGGACGGGGCCATGTACCATCAAATCTTGGGTGAGAACCTCCTTCCCTCAGCCAGGGCATTGAAAATGGGTCGTGGATGGGTATTCCAGCATGACAATGACCCAAAACACACGGCCAAGGCAACAAAGGAGTGGCTCAAGAAGAAGCACATTAAGGTCCTGGAGTGGCCTAGCCAGTCTCCAGACCTTAATTCCATAGAAAATCTGTGGAGGTAGCTGAAGGTTCAAGTTGCCAAACATCAGCCTCGAAACCTTAATGACTTAGAGAAGATCTGCAAAGAGGAGTGGGACAAAATCCCTCCTGAGATGTGTGCAAACCTGGTGGTCCTCTGTAGCTCAGCTGGTAGAGCACGGCGCTTGTAACGCGAAGGTAGTGGGTTCGATCCCCGGGACCACCCATACACAAAAAATGTATGCACGCATGACTGTAAGTCGCTTTGGATAAAAGCGTCTGCTAAATGGCATATTATTATTATTATTACAAGAAACATCTGACCTCTGTGATTGCCAACAAGGGCTTTGCCACCAAGTACTAAGTCATGTTTTGCAGAGGGGTCAAATACTTATTTCCCTCATTAAAATGCAAATCAATTTATAACATTTTTGACATATGTTTTTCTGGATTTTTTTGTTGTTATTCTGTCTCTCACTGTTCAAATAAACCTACCATTAAAATTATAGACTGATCATTTCTTTGTCAGTGGGCAAACGTACAAAATCAGCAGGGGATCAAATACTTTTTTCCCCTCACTGTAAATGCATCATAATGCAGACCCTTAATGTGCCAACTTTCTAAATACATGGCTCTGGACAGTACCATCTTGTCATCATACGGGTGCAACAGTCTATGAGTACATAAATGATGTAGTAATATCTTACAGTCTTACTCAACTTTTTTGTTGTTGTACTTTTTACCCCTTTTTCGTGATATCAGATTGGTCATTACAGTCTTGTCCCATCGCTGCAACTCCCGTAAGGAGCCATGCGTCCTCCGAAACACAACCATGCCAAGCTGCACTGCAACTTTACACACTGCTCGCTTAACCCAGAAGTACCAATCCGACTGAAGTCATTTAACGATTCTAGATTTAACTTTGGATTGGAGATGCTTAATGTGAGTCTGGAAGGAGAGTTTACGGTCTAACCAGACACCTAGGTATTTGTAGTTGTCCACATATTCTAAGTCAGACTCGCCGAGAGTAGTGATTCTAGTCGGGCGGGCGGGTGCAAGCAGCGTTCGATTGAAGAGCATGCATTTAGTTTTACTAGCGTTTAAGAGCAGTTGGAGGTTACGGAAGGAGTGTTGTATGGCATTGAAGCTCGTTTGGAGGTTTGTTAACACAGTGTCCAATGAAGGGCCAGATGTATACAAAATGGTGTCATCTGCGTAGAGGTGGATCTGAGAGTCACCAGCAGCAAGAGCAACATCATTGATATACACAGAGAATAGAGTCGGCCTGAGAATTGAACCCTGTGGCACCCCCATAGAGACTGCCAGAGGTCCAGACAACAGGCCCTCCGATTTGACACATTGAACTCTGTCTGAGAAGTAGTTGGTGA